TCCGATCTATTCAACTTTTAACACAAATGACCAGAGAAAATGAAAAGTGAAATAACAAAACCTACTGTTTCACATGAAACTGAAAATTTTGTTCGGGAGATGGACATGGAACGTAACCTTATTTTCGAAAAATCAAATATCTATCCAGGTTTCAGCAAATTAAAATATAAACCATCCTCATTAAAAAAGAATCTACAAGAGTATCGGACTCGAAATGGACTCGGACTCGCCCGTGTCTGGTTATTGGACTATGCATATTGTTTAATTTGTTTAATACTTTTAAATCGTCTTTGTATTGTATAATGTTTAATTATGGGTAAACTTTTCATTAGTCTTTGAAATTGTTTTCGAAACATCGATGATGTAAATAAATAGACATAGAAATCGGCACAACTATGAATATGAAACAAAAGTTTTGCTAATAGCGAAAATAATTTTTCTAATTTTAGTCGTTTTCTGCTTTTGAAGGTATTCATAGTTAGAACTGAATACGTGTGATCAATAGTAAATGGAATAGTAGATAAAACAGTCAAAATAATTTGCATCAATAACATTCTTGTTAAATGTTCATCCACTTTTTCAATTCGTTTTCCAATTTTTATTGTTATATATTTTTTTGTATATTTAGCAATTTTTTGAACATGTCGTAAAGTAAGATAACCAAATATTGACATGAGACCGAGTGGTGTCAAAGTAAAGATAAGAATACCAAATAAAATAAAATATACAGAATATGGACCATTTCTTGGTCCACATTGTTTTCTATCATTAACACGATATACTTCTGAAAATATCAGCTGAGTGACTGATATAACTGTCCAAAATATCACTGTTATTGTTATGAATAGAAATGTATTTGTTTTTCTAACTGGACCAGATAATGTTAATAAGTATCGTTCAATTGAGGCTAGACTAATGAATGTATGCGTTGACATTGATGTTAACTGAGCAATATAATTTCGAACTTTACACACAAATACATATCGAGATACTAAATCATAATTAAAACCATCTGCTAGAATTCGAAGAGTAAGCACACTATTAAGTTGAACTAAATCCGAGATTGATGAAGCTAATAATAAATAAATTGAACATGAATTAGTTTTTAATGATCGAAAATGAAAAAATAGTATAATGTTGAGTAATGATCCAATATTACCACCGACTAGAACCATGCTTCCAACATAAATTGCTACATAATGTGAATTTGTACTATTCATATTTCGCTTCTTATGCTCAATACACAATATATATATAATAATAATTTGTAAGATGTCATACATCTTTTTTATTTGCTCTATGAGAGAAGTATACAGAAAACAAACGAAAAAAAAAGAATTCATCATATAATTATACTTTATTATTGCACGGTGTATAGAAATTGAGATAGCCTTTGATAAAGTGACAATTGTATTAAGGTATTCTCTTTTAATATAGAATAAAAAGCAGAATATGTAATATTTGTTCAGGATTCAGACTTAAGAACAACGGAAAACTTATTGTTTTTCTTTTTTTTTTCAAAATACTAGGGTAACACTCTAACATTTTTTTGTCACTTTCAAAAAATATTTTGACTCTTATACACTACAAATGTAAAAACCTAGAATTTCAGTGACATGTGTTATTATTTTCTCATGTTAGAAAAGAAATTCTCTCATTTTCTGCTGTGTGAATCAAAAAGTAATCAACGGGAGAAATACTTACCTCCTTGAACTATAAAAACGTCTATAATTTAGGTCAATAATTTCCTTTGCCATCATATAAGATCCGGTTTATCAAATGTCAAATTTTCGTATTCGCAGAGATACAAACATTTTACTATGCAAAGAGCCGAAATAATACTAAGTACTGGATTCAAAATTGAATTTTTGTATCTCTGCAAAAACATGTTCATTGGGCAGAAAACTTTTACACATAGGTAATTTGACGGGCTCTGCAATATGGCACTGAGCAAAT